TCAATTTTATATGCTATTTGAAAAAAATGCAAAATTTTACTTTTTATAATAAAACGAAGGGAAAACTTTCTATGAAAATAGTGATAACAAATGGATAATGAGCTAACTAATTGAAAAAACAAGTCTAACTAATTAAAGAAAAGTCAAAATATAAAAAATATGAATAGATATTATAATAAATTGAGATAGAATCGGTCAAGGGGCGGGCAGACGGGGCTGGGAAGGGGGTCGGAATTATTGTACCACAACTTAAGCACTAAACTGAACGAATTAAAAAATATTATTTATGTAGGGGCAAATTCATATTTTTTAACATTGGGTTCAACAACCGATGAAAAAAATTCATTTTTCCTGTGTGGAAAGGTAAAGTCATGTTTAGACTGGAGGGGCTAAGGTGTTAACACTTTTTTTTGTTATGGTGCTAACACTAACTCCAACCAATCATAACATTTCATTTGGATGAGTTTTCCATTTAAATGAGTTGACCACAATTAATGAGGGGAAAAGAGAAAGAGGGGCACGCTTGGTATCATGAAAAATTGGGGAAGGAGATGAAGGAAGGAAGTGGGACACGAAGCATGCCATAACCTCTTCCAAGCATGCCACAACCTCCAAAGCAGGCCACAACCTTCTCAAAGCATGTCAGAAGTTTATCAAGCATGACACAAGTAGTGGACCTGTTTGTAAATTTGAAAATGTTTATGTACCAAAATGTAAGGTGAAAATTTTGAGGTACTAAAATGTAATTTTATATCGATATTTTTAGTACTCAGATGTAAAAAAGATAATTTTATGTACTAATTATTAATACCTATTAAGTTCATGTACCAAAACTGTAATTTGTAAATAGAACATGGAAATGTAACATGAATTGAAGGGGCAACAGAATGGAAGGGGAAGGGAAGGGAAAAGGAAAAAGGAAAAGAGAATGATTAAAATAGGATAATATCCTTAATAAATGTGTTAGTATGATACTAACATTTAAGATTGTTAGCACCTTATACACCACTTTCAGTTTCTACTTTTATGTCCTATACAAAATTTTCTAAATTCTATTTTCATAAAAGAAAATGGATACTTTTCATATGTTAATGTCGCAACACAACCTAAATCAGTTGAAACTAACAAAATCATTTTAAGTAGCTTTTTTTTAAACTTATTTCTTGTGGGAACCTATAAGTTGAAATAATTACAATAAAAAGAATATACAATATAATCTTAGTAGATCCGCTTTTTACATATTCTTTTCCCTTTCCATTTTCAAATAACTCATCTCCAAAACCTTATAAGCTATATTATTTTTATATCCATTTTTCCGAGACCGGATCACCTCAGTAACTGTCCCATCAGTAACCATCAGTAACCCCTTCCCCTGGCCCCCACGTGTCAGCCTTTTTCTTTTATTAAAATTAAACACGGAGGGGTAATAGGGTAAATTGCACCCCCAATCTAATGTTGACGCTGACGCTCTGACACGAATCCCACTCCCCCACCCCACAATGATTTCCCTCTCTTTTACTCTTTAATTTATTATTTTAAAAAAGTACATTATTTCTTCTTTCTCTTACATCTACAACGAAAATGAATCTAACCATCCTAGCTATCTCTGTTCAAATTTCAAATCAAATTGAATGGTGATTTTTTGGTTAAATAATTTAGTGCTAAAGACCGTAATTACAAATATGAAATTTATTATCACTTTCTACTATCATGATAAAACATGGTAAAATACATTGAAAAAAATTTACAAATCTAACTACCATACAATACCAGTATACCACTTGGTATAACGTTGTAAAACATGCTACAGAAATTTATAAATCTATTTACGATATCATATCATATGGTATAACATGCTAAAATTAAATTACAAATTCAACTACTATCACATGGTATAACATGGTAAAACATGTTACAAAAAATTATAAATCTAACTACCATACAATACCACCATAGTAGAACATGGTTAATCGATGAACACAAATTAATTGTAATTGTCATACGATACCACATGGTATGAGAATGTAAAACCATACAAAAATAATATAAATCTAATTACAACCCTTTACGACCATAGTAAAACATGATATCTATAAAAATACATTTCGTTACCACACTTTACCATATGGTATAAACACATTACCATATGGTATAGTGTGGTAATCTCAATATATATATATATATACAATTACGACTCTCTTCACTTTCTTCTCCAACTTCATTGTCTTCTAACTCTTCTTTCTCGAAATTGGAGTCGATTACCACCCACTACCACCATGATAGAACTCGTGACCATAAAAATACATTAAGTTAGCACACATTACCATATGGTATAGTGTGGTAATATCAATATATATTACCTAAAAGGAAGAAAAACAGAAGGAGGGAGAGAGAAAAAAACTCGTCTTCTGTCTCCTCTCATTTCTCCTCCGCAATCAAGAACGCCAAATGCAACAAAAAAAAAGAGGAGGAAGATCGGATTAAAAATTCAAAAACAAATACTAAAATATAAAACATGCAAACTCGACCCACCTAGATCTATCCCCTCTTGGTCAATATGGAGCGTCATCTATTTTGAGGTCGAGAAAAGAAGGAACGGAAGGAAGGAGCAGCTGCAGAGAAGAAGGATTTGAAGCGTCACTAGATTTAAGATGTGATGCTGTAATTTTTCTTTGTCAATTGTTGGAGAAAAAAAATGAAGAACAAGAGAAGGGAACAAATCTAGAACTAAAAAAGAAGTTTGTAAAAGAGAAGGAAGAGAGAAAGAGAAAGAGAAAGAGAAAAGTCTAGTTTTCTCTTTCCTCCATTAAAAACCAATATATAAATGATAGAAAAATAGAAAAAGAAATAAATAAAATTTTAAAAATTGGACAAAAATGCCCCTTCCCACCCCGCGTCAATCTCATCCACACAATGATTCCACCCCAGATCAACGGCCCATAAGTGGTTACTCACAGGTCAGTAACCACCAGTTACTGACCTATCTCAAACTCATTTTCTCTCAATTTCTCATACGGATAAGGCCACACTGTTCCTCCCATTATAATGACTAATCACTTTTTTTATTATGATTATCAACCTTCATTATTTCTCAAAATCATCAACTAAATTTGTATCTATTTTCACGTTGTTGTGATTGTACCTCTCTTGTCATAAGATTAATGCAACCACAAAAACATCAAAACAAATATTAAGGTATCGTTTGCTTGTGGGATTTGGGTTATGTATTTGACACCCAAATTCCAAGCATTATGTATTGGGTTAATTGCAAGGTTGGTCACTGAGTTCATTAAAAAGATTCACATTTGGTCACAAAAAATATATAATTTCATTCGTGGTCACTAACTTTCTATTCTCGGTTCATCATTGGTCAGTCTCCGTCTACTTCCGTTAACTTTTGCTTACATGGCAGTCAACAATCGTAGTTGACCGTTAAATATGTGACGTGGTAATTAGAAAATTAATAAAAAAATAAAATTTAATACTTATAAATTTCCACCTCATTCTTGCGGTTGCTAAAAAATAAGAAAAAGGTAAATAATAAATACATAAAATCAAAACAAATTAAAAGAACAAAAAAATTGTTCCTGGGTCTTCACGATTCCAACCTTTTCCCAATTTACTTTTCGATTTAACCCTCTTGAAAATTCCCAATTCTAACTCCAACCTTCGGCCCTCCAAATCGTTACCACCATCGTTGTCGCCCTTTTCCCCCTTTGTGAAAATTCTGAATCCCAACCCTTTTGCAGCCAAGTTGCCATCACCAACACCGTCGCCTTGTAACTCTGCCTCCAGATCTAGACTCTTTCAGCGCCATAACCGCTCTGCCCGACCATTACCACCAGGGCCAACGTGGGCACTTGTCGATTCTTTCTCCGATGACCTGATTGAAGGAGACCGAGAGGTAGAGGTGGGAGGTGTTGTCGCAGACTAAGGAGAAACAGAAGATGGCGGAGAGGGCGATGATCTTGAAGAACTGGAGGCGGGTTCCTATTTTCCCAATCCTGTCGGCATCCTTGGTTTTCCCCACAACAAATTTGGCCCTCAAATCTAACCCTTTCAAACGCGTGATGGCAAGGATTTAAACCGCGGGGAACCCCGCCACCCTGCCGTTGCGATGGGGGCAACTTGAATACGAGCATAAGAGGCCTGCAGTCATCGATCTCAGAAACGACGTTGTCTTCCCTCACAATATCAAGAAGCCCCACCACCACCATCGCGGCGAACTTCACTTCGATATTCTTTAATTTCCATGTCTGGATCGCCGGTGAGATTGAGCCCCCAAGACAGAGAGAGCCAGCGAAGTTGAGCTAAGTGGGTTTCTTGAGCTGGATGGCTAAACATCGCCCTTGTTTTATTTTATCGCCCTAATTTTGAAATGTAATATTACTAAACTATCCTTCATTAATCCATTAAAATTTAGCAAATAAACCACCCCTAACATTCCTAATTCTCCGGTCACCTCCTCTCCACAAACCTTTCGCCGGCATCCTTCACCTCTGCACTCCGTCAGAAAAACTAAACATAACTAATGTCCTGGGAGTGCCGTGAGAGAGGATGGGAATGCTGGAGCGAGAGAGTCATGGGGCGGGAGTTCGAGTCTGGGTTTGTTTTCTTCTTGCAGGTAACCTTCAATCCGAAGGCTGGTAGAATTTCGACTCAGTGGAAGCTTTTGAAACAGGACAAGATCTGACAGAAGGCTGGGGGAAGGGACTTAAAGTTGAAAGTGGACTCTTGCTTGGGTATGATTAGAGTGGTAAGGTCCAGCTTTCATTATTCAATCAAGTATAATAAAAAAAAACCAATGGCAACTGGTGTAATCAAATTAAAACTAATGGCAACGACCTTTTTTTGTAGTTATTGCCATTCACCCTTGATTTGATTCGGAACAGAGGGATGAGAAAATTGCAGCAGTAATCTGTTTGTTAAAAATAAATTCTTTTTTAATAATAAGAAAAGAAAGGATAGAAAGGTAATTCTAATTAGGGCGATAAAAAAATTAGGAAACTGTTGGATTCAAGGCCAACTACCCTTCTTCCCAGTCTATATCATCATCATCCTCATCCTCTGGCGTAGCCTTTGCTTCCTCGTTCAAATCATGCACCCTGTAATTAGGGATGGCAATTTTGCCCATACCCATGGGTATTTTACTATCCAACCCAATTGGGTTGGGTATGGATTCCAAATTAGGGATGGCAAAAATATCCGTAATCATGGATATCCGCCCGAATCCGACCTTGTCGGGTGGGTAAAACCCGAACCCGAATGACTTTTAGCGGGTACGGGTAAAACCCGAACCCGAATATTGCGGGTAATGGGTGGGCATGGTTTTCTCACTATCCAATCCGAACCCGCCCGATATACACATGCGTATGTATTTTGTCTAGAAATAATCATTATTTTTCTCTAATATATTTTATATTTAGCATATAAATATAATTTTTTCATGAAATTGTGTTGTTTTAATGAATTTTCTTCATCCTTGTATATTATTGTCATCCTTTTTGTCTTACGTAATGTGAGAATACATATGAATATTAACATATTGGTTGAAGTTATAAAGAGAAACTATTACCCATGGATAACCGTGGATACCCGAAACCCGAACAGATATGGACATAATTTTGATTTTCTATCCGTTTCTTATGTGGGTATGGGTCTGGGTAAAACCCGAACTACTTTGGGTAGGGTAGCGGATATGCACTATCCGCCCCCGACCCGACCCATTGCCATCCCTATTCCAAATAAATGGTAGATGGGTAGAGTTTGATGGATTTGTACCCATACCCGTTTACTTGGGTTGGGTTGGGTTTTTAACACATGGATTTGGGTTTGTACCCATCCCCAAAGACAAATTACAGTTTGGTACCTAAACTTAATAGATATGCAGATTTAGTACCTAAATTTAATTTTTTTTGCATATAAGTCCTCAAAATATCGATGGAAAATTACGTTTTGGTACCTAAAATTTTTTGGTCTTACATTTTGGTACCTAAACTTTTCAAGTTTTACAAATAGGTCCAATTTTTGTGTGTGTAGTTAAAACACCCTCAAGTAAATGGATATCCATATCCAACCCATACCCATTTACATTATGAAAGCAATATCCATACCTAACCCAAACCCATCTACAAACCCCCAAACCCATATACACTTCATCCAAACCCTACCCATACTAAATGGATCTATTTGGATTTGGGTAAAATAACCCATGGGTGGGTAATTGCCATCCCTACCTGTAATTAGAGCTCTCACCTCCCATCGGGGCCTCTTACCAGTCGACATCATCATCTCCCTCGTCGTCTCCACGTTTGAACTTCATCCCAACTTGACGTTGCGGTGAGGATTCTGGAGGACCATTCCAATCGGATGTCTCCAGCACCTCCTGTTGCTTATTTGCAGCTTCTAGCTCATGTCGCTTCATGGACTCAGAAAAATAATCTTTCGCGTACTTGTCCTGATAACACAACATCAAAACCTTAGTTTAGTAAAATTGAGCAGTCTGGTCTGGTTCCTGCCCCTCTTAAATTTACAAGTCCATGAATAAACCCCCACATAAGAAGAAATAGAAACTATACCGTAAAGCTAATGGCTTAACCAAACAACACAGACCTGTAAAAGCTTTTTCTCATCATCTTCAGAGACAGTTTTATTGTCATCTGAGAACCCTGAGGACAAGCTGCCAACCATCTCCGACTCCTGCTTCACCTCTCCTCGTTAATCCTTTGTTAGGTTCATTCCTTGTTTTATAAACCATGGTGGTACTACTTTTAGCGCTGCACCTGCACTTTCAGATTTGGCATCCTCTTCCTTGCCATCAATACCAGAAAAAGCAACCTCAACCTGCCACAACCACCAACCAAATGCTTACAGTAGAGGAACCGAGATGTTCTATAAGTAAAGAATTCGCAAATCATCATTTTCCATCTTCTTCAATGGTAAAGGAAACTGAAGATTAGTTATGAAGATTAATCACCAAAAAAACCAATAAAAATAACGAATAGCATCACATATGTTACTTTCGGATTTTAACTAGATTATAAAGGGCAGGTGTAACTACAGGTTGGAGTGGTGCAGAGAATTATGACTATTCTACAGGCTTAACACCGCAACAAAGCGAATTTTGGAGAAAATATCTAAGCCCACTAAACATAGACAGGACAAGATATTTAAAGAACTTTCAAAGGTGGAACTTGATATTGGCAAAGGAAGAGGAAAAAAACAATACCTTTGTCTCCCCAAGATATGGTAACGGGACTCCATCATATCCTTGGGATGTCTGGAAAGGATCATTGGAATCCGAACCATTTCTAGCACGACCGGCAGCACTTGCTCTAGCTTCCCATGCTAGGAGATTTCCAAACTCAGGAACAGCGATATCTTTCACTCTGTTCAGCTGCTCGATTAGTGGCTTAAGATGCGTCTGTTACCATTTATATGCCCACCACGAGTAAGTTAACATACGAACACAACGAGAGGATATCTTCCAGTAACTATAAATGCATATCGCCTCACACTAAATGCGTGAAAAACCTCAAGACCCATAAAGTATCTTCAAAAAAGTACTTCTATAAGAATCTAAGTACTCAACTAGTGAGTCAAGAAAGGCTATCTAGCTGACTGTGAAACCAACATTACCATAACGACAAAAGGTATTCCAGTCCTACCTTTCTAATATCTTGTTCTAAAACAAACCACATTGACCTTGAAGCACTAGACTATCAGTTCTTTAATGAAATACACACTAAAAAAACAGAGCGTCCAAACCATTGACAACAAAAGTAACCTCGTCTCTATAACATTGCTAAATCTTACCCGCTAGAAATAAAGAATAACAATCTGAAGTAACTAAGGGGCATGGGAAGGAGCTTTGAGTCAGATTTCGGAAACTACACACTAAATTGAACCCATTACTGATTTACACTACCCTAAAAATATGAACTACTATTTACAATATACATTTTTCTGAACTCACATAAACAAAACTCCATGTCCTTCTCTGTGCAAGGTCAGGATGAGAGCAATGTACACCCTACAAGCAGCACAGTCAAGCTGAATAGCTAGAGAGAAAAACATACATCGATTTTCTGAAGCATGTCCTTTATTTGTTCACGCCTTCGCCTCCTTTCATTGTCATCTCCATCTCCTCCTTCTGAAATAGTTAACTTATCACTCTCTGCCACAAGTTCACCATTGCAATTCTCACAATGGAAAGATTCATCCTCCATGGATACCAATCGCAGGGCATCCAAAGCATTGTATCTAATATTGATGAGAAACACCAAGTTCAGAAGCAACTTCATACTTGTTACAGTTATAATGGAACACACATCTCCATAAATCAATAGCAGTTGGAAAAAAAAAACCATTGAGCAGGTACCTTCTCCCGCAGTTGGGACACACATACTCTTGAATTGTGTTTTTTCCTTCCGATTCCTCCTTTAACTTCTTCCTCAAGCGGTGCAATCTGTACCTGACAACATCATATATCTGCCATGCAAATTCTATCTCAGATATTCAGCAGCACAATCCATAATGTATATAGTGCACAGGCAAATCAAAAAAGCAAAACGAAAGGTTGAGCATGCAGGGATAGACCACAGACAGATGAAAGAAAAAATGGGAGAGGAACCTGTGCGTAATCCAGGCAGCAGTATGAGTGTGTGTGTAGCTTAACCTTATCCTCTCCTTTACCATGTTGAACCTCAGTAGTAGCAGCTACTGCAGCAGTATATAACTTTGCACCTTTTGCCGTCTATGTAGTAAAATTTAAGCACCAAACAAAGTACTTTAAGGAAAACGGACATATAAAGGAAGATATTATTTGTAACTAGCTCAATAGGGTGTAGCAGGCAATACATAATAACATCTACTGTACACTTTGTCATCAAAGTTATTCAATTGTTAAGTAAGCTCATTTCCGAGTTAAAGTCATAAATCTCACTTTCAACATACAATAATATCTATCAACATCAGGTTCCAGTTTGTAGTTAAGAAAACATACAAAACCAGAGGGTTAAACATCTGTAAATTTGCAAGGTAGTAGATATATTGAATTGAAGGATACAAATGTTAAAAGAAAGGTAACCAAACATAGTACACACAATGATAAAACCACCACATTTAGTATTGGGATCTTTGTACAAACTCTAGCTTGCAATAGACAATAACCTTCACAAACATCAGCAAGGAACAACTACATTCCCTGGTAATGGAAGATATGAGCCATAAGTATAAAAGCACCTCTTGAGTGGTGGTGAACTCCTCTTACACATACAGGCTTTCTCTAAGACTAACTATTCCAAATTTATCATGTGTAATCAGTCACTAACCTTTACTAAATACTAATTAGTAATGGCAATGACTAACTGATACAAAGCAGCACATGCAAACACTATCCAACATGTAATAGTCAACTTGAACTTAAATAAATAGCAACCTCTTTTCTATGATCACGAGTGACCAGCTTTTCTTCTTCGAAAAACCGCAGAGTGCGTCGGAGTTGCTTTGTATGTATTTTTAAATCCTTCGCCAGATCCTCTTCTCTGACCCATTGCCGTCTATGTTACAACAATTAAAAACTGACACTTAATTACATTGACTATTGAATAGTAATTCTCCTAGACATTACACTAAAATGTCAGCATACAAAATACATGTACCAGTAAAAAATGCTGGTATGCAATAATGAAAATTCTTGCTCTATAAGTGAAACAGTGGAGGCAAGCATGTATGTTAACACTCCTGCCACTAGCACTGAGCAATTGAAATCAATATTTTGGAAATTCCTTGTATTTACAGGACAGCCCCGATATGTACATACAACCATGCCTGAGTGAAGAAGCACAGGTATCCAACCAGCAAATAAAAAATTGAATCTATATCTAGCTTCTGAGAGAATAACAATAAATCAAAAGAAGAAGAAACAAAAAAAGATGTTGAACTCTTACCTGGTGAGAGCATCGAGGATCACCACGGCCACTCCTCTATTGTCACTACGCCCAATCTTCTGTTGATTATCCCCCTTTGTCGTGTAATCATCATAAAATGCCCTAGCCGCAAGCTTCACTAACCTATGTTCATTGTTCCATTTTATTTATCAATTTTCTAAGAAAGAAAATGATAAATTAACCAGAAACAAGAAGCCATAGCAGCACTCCTAAACATCAAAAACCTTTTAAAAAAGAAGGACAAAAACTTCAGTGCAGAAATGAAATTAAAGAAATTGCACAACTGCGGAGAAGGAATTTCACCTGTTGAAAGGTTCAATGCTCATGTTAGTAGAACAATCACTAGTTGGACATAGAATTTACTTTCAGGGTATTCGACTGTGTTATATCCAAACTTTCTTGGACCTTCGCCAGCTGCGGCACTGAGAAAAGTAGTACAGAGGATCAAAATTAGAATCAAAAGAAATCTTCACAGAGTTGTTTGATTCTAGTGAATGATGACGGAGTTAGCCAAAGCAGTATAGAACAGATCAACATGACCCAAAGAGAACAGCAGAATGAACACACTATTATTCAACAGCAAAACCAACCAAGCTTGTGAGACTGAAACACGAGAGATCCCATTCAGAAAGATAACCCTTTGCTGATAATCCAGCACAAATAACCATTGCAAGACTCGGCCAAAAGACAACGTCGTGCAAAGAACGCCCAATTTCTCTCCCGAGAACTAACGGGTGATTTCATTAGTCATCCCTTAAAACTTAAATAGCGCTCAATTAAATTCTAAGGTACGGAATTATATATCGCGTCGACTTCATCAAATAGACCTAGAACCAGTGGCCGCGCCCCCGAACCAAGAAAAGAACGAGGGCGCTCCGGAAGAAGAAAGAAGAGAGGGACACGAAGCAACAGCGGCCACGGGCATCTGCGAATTCATCGCGGAGACAAGAAGGGATATTTGGGCAAAATCAAGAGCAGAATGGATTTGAGATTTCTGATATAGACAGACGTCGAATATGATCGATGATCAATTGGGGAAAATGATAAACCCCTAAAACGGAAGCGAGATTTTAGCAACGTACGGTAAATGAGAGAGTAGCGGCAGACCTAAGAAAAATAGTAGAATGGCAGAGCGCTTTGCCTTGAAATAGAACACGGGCCATCCTCAATCCTCATCCCTCAAGGACACGGTAACCCAGGGCGCGGACCCGCACGTCCGGAAGAGACCTTGGCCTGGACAACTACCTTATTGCTCGGCCATTTGGCCGGAGGCACCTAAGGCAAATATTTGAAATTCGGTGTGGAATTGAGCCGTTAATTTTACATCAGTGCCAACATCTCCAAAGCGTGGCATCTATGGTGTCTCAAAATAAACATATCTTTTTTTGAGGGTTAATACCTTAAACTGATAGTACACAAATAATCAACTTTATCTTGTGATTTTCAAAATTCTCATTATGTCCTAAACGATGCACTATCTAGACTAATTTGGTCCGACCCATGAAATTTAGTCAAATTAAACTGTCATCACTAGTGACCAGTAATGAGAAGCATGATATGCTGATGTGGATGCCATGTGGACAATAAAAACTAATAAAAATGAATAATTTAATAAAATAAATAATATTTATCTTATAATTTTTTTCCATAATTATTTCTCGATTATTCTCCTATTCCGAATTGAACCTCTCATACTGCGAGTCCTTCAACCTCTTCTTTTCCTTGTCGTCCCTTGTTGTCGACCCGCATGGAATACCAGGCCCAATCCTGGGGTCTTTCCCCATCATCGACATCCACTATCATGGGGAACTTCGAGATCATTAGGTTCATCTTCCAAGGGTTCAGTTGTGGAGATTCGCGATACGACACTTGATTGAATTGGTTATGGCGCGCGGTATTGGGAGCGATGGAAGGGGTGAGCCTGCTAGAGAGAATGCGGATATCCTAGTCAATCAAATGGATTCAGATTCTCAAATCCGTCCTTGCTTCTGCCTCCGTGTCTCGAGCTCTCCGATTGAAATCCCCAACAACTGTGGCAGATACTCCATCTCCCTATTTACTGTCTGCCATTGACGAAACAAACGAAAGTTTGATCAAATGTAACTGTTAGGCTAAGTGGGATTGCCACGTAAGCCTGGGCCCATGTAAGCCAACTCGGCCCAATAAGCAAACTGATGTGGGACCTTAAGGAGTACAACGAGAAGCTAAGGACAGGGCATATTATAGACTACGCATTAAGTGGCGTCGGAGGCGGAGTATAGGTAAAATACGTTCGATAAGACAACAATAGTGCTAATCATACCAACACTGACAAAGCATTAAATGCGACCACAAACGTGGCCTCGTGAAAGTGACTTCCGGTACACGCATGACAGAGCATTAAATACTCGTACGAGTGACCAATGTAGTCAAAAGCAAGTTTCTACGTAGAAACGTTTTGGTGATCTAGAAGCGTAAAATCGTAAGTTTTTAAGTTTTAATGCGGAGTTTTTAACTACATAAGCTATAAAAACTAAGATTTTGTGTAGAAGCGTTTTAGTTATCTAAAAACGTAAAATCGTAAGTTTTTAAGTTTTAAAGCGCGATTTTGACTACATTGCGAGTGACTATTGGCTATAAATACCATCCAACCACATCATTTAATGGTAACTGAACAACCCACTCCTCTCTCTACTTTCTTTGATCTCTAAATACATTTACCTTGCTCTTTGGAGAGTGTTTGAGGCTACTGCCTCCGGACCCTTGGTGCAGGAGTCAACACCACCGCCACGCATCCGACGAGAGGCGTGGTCCCAATGAAAGTGGTCACCTAATACGCCTGGTACATTCCAAAGTTAAGCAATTTGGCGCCCACCGTGGGGCAACATTCGGAAAATCCAGTCTTCTTGTCGCAAGTGATGGCGGTAAATTCAATGACTCCACTAAAGGGAATAATCAACACGCAAAAACTGAGAGGGCTCTTAAATCAAATTGAGGACGAAATGGAACTAGAGGAACGAGCCAACGGACACGGGAAGCAAATTTCTAAAATTAAGGATAGCATTGGTCGAATCTTGGCCCTTATGCGGGAAGAAAAAAAATCAGGGAGACACTCGTTCAGGGAGCTCTGGAGTGAAGAAAGGGGAGCGAACTAATCCATCGACCCAAATACCTCATGAGAGAAAAAGGAGTTATTTGGGTTCGGGGGCGATTGACGAGGCGAACTGCTAGTTTTCGGATACGAGATATCCATCCTAGTCATTGTGGACGCATTTGCCCAATTGACACATCTGAAGGAATCAATGTTGGACTTATTGGATCCTTATCAGTTCATGCCAAGAATGATCCTTGGGGATCTTTAGAAAGCCCATTTTATAAAATCTCTCACAGATAAAGAAAACGAATGTTTTTTTATCACCAAATAGAGACGAATACTCTATAGTAGCGGTAGGAAATTCTTTGGCGATCAATCGAAATGTTCAAGAGGAGCAGGTTGTTGACCTAGACGATGTGGAAACAGAAGACAAGCAACCGGAGGCGGATCTGAGTTTCCTGGAAGAACACTTACAATCAAGCTTCAGGAAGGAAAGCAGGAAAGGGAAGGGTCCCAACGTACTACATACCCCACCGGCGAAAAGACTGTTCAAAAACCCGGTGCCTCCAAATTTCTCATCGTTGCGACTACCAACATACAACGGGAGCTCTGATCCCGGTGATCACCTGAGCACATTTACTTAAAGATGCAAATGATCAATGCCTCAGACGCGAATCTTTGCAAGGCTTTCCCATTAACCTTTAGGGGACGGTGTAGGACATGGTTCACATCACTTCTAGAGGGCATCATCAAAAATTTTGAACAATTCGCAACAATGTTCTCATCAAAGTTCGCCTCCCAAATACGCCACAAGATGACGCTATCTGCTTTCATCAATTGTCCCCAGGGGGGACAGAGAAACGCTATCGAAAATTTATGATAGATAGAACACAATAACGTGTGAAAGCTAATGGATCACGCCCGGAGTCGCACCAGGAAACTTAAGAATTAATGTTGACATGCAACAAAGGGCTACAGAGGGTGTTGATCAAAAAATAACATTGCCTAAATACGTGGCTAGAGCTGGATAACCTAGTACAGTGAGCCATAACTCTGGAAGAAGCCCTGGCTATAGAAGACGCACACACTCTTGGGGCGCTAGAGATGGAAGAGGAAAACCACGCAAGGAAAAAAAAAGGAAATCGCACACCCCCGCGCAGGGGGAAATCCCTCGAGCATCATAATTTCAAAGCAAAAGCATACGAAAGCGATGGGAGCAGAGAGGTATCCGCTACTAGGAAGGAAGGAAAGGAGCACCCTTACCGGGCCCGCGAGAAAATGGACAAGATTGAAGAGACGAGGCGCCCAGATGCTCTTGTCAATAAAAAATGGTGTGAATGACACCAGAGAAATACGCATAATACAGTAGATTGTCGAGATTTCTAGATGAGCTTGGAAATCTCGCTCCTGGAGATCTACGCAATAGGCTGGAGGCTAAGAGACATGAAACAAGAGAACGTCGAATGTCACTTTCCCCTAGACAAAGATACAGTCATTCTCCTTGGGATCCTTCCAAATCAAGGGACCAAAGACAGTCACGTTCGTCCAAAAAGAATTGATCTAGAACTCCCAGGCAAGCCAGATTACTGTCGCTGCCTTCCACGCCGCGGGATGGAAGGAAATAGCGTCATGATGAAGATGACCTGGAAATTATAACAATCGTTGGAGGGAGTAAGAAGAGACCTTGATCAACCGAAGGAGAGATAGCTCAAGTCCTATCACTAGAAACAGGCCTGCCAGCAAAAGTAACATTCAGTTAATCATAACTTGTCGATCCGAAAATAACTAAAGACCCTTTGATCATCTCATTTCGCACAGGAAAATACAAAGTTACAAGAACGCTAATCGACAACGGTAGCTCGGCAGACATTTTAGTTTTCTCAACATTGAAGAATATGAAGAAGGGTACCCAAGAACTGAGGCCATATGCCAAGTAGCTGGTAGGATTCTCAGGATCTAAGATCAAAGTGTTGGGCGTGATTACGTAATGCATTACAATCGGAGAATGGGGGGCAACAAAAACCAAACCCATGGAGTTTTACGTAGCAGGCTACCCATTGGCATACAATGCCATGCTTGGAAGAGGATTCCTGGCCACTTTTGAAGCGATCTCGTCACGTGCCACCATATGCTAAAATTCCCGGCAGGAAGGAAATTGGGCCACGTTAAAGGGAATTCTCAACAAGCTAGAGAATGCTACCAGACAACCATTGAGCAGCTAGAAATTGACTTGATGGACACGAGAGGAAACGCGCCGAGACCTGAAGCATTGGAAGGAGATCTGTCCTTTGCATTTTGAAAGGAGCAGCCAGATAAGAAAGTGCGGTTATCCACTCACCTAATGGCAGAAGAGGCGTATGCGATGTTTGCAGCTGCTCCGAGAGTTTGCGGAGCTATTCGCATGGGGACCTCAAGATATGTCCAATGTTTCTAGGGAATTGGCAGCACATCACTTGTTCGTAAAGCCCAATGCGAAACAAATTCAGCAATAATGATGCAACGTATCGATGGAGAAACAAATGACATTGGATGAAGAAATAAGGAAGCTCAGGTTTGTGGAGGAGGTGTGTTGACTTCACCAGCCTAAATAGCGTCTGCGGAAAGATGTATACTTGCCTCCCCAGATAGACCAACTCATCAACGCTATCGCAAATCACGCAATGCTAGGCTTACTCAACATGTTCTCGGGATATTATCAAATACGCCTCTCAGAATAAGACCAAGAGAAGAAAACATTCATAACTTTTATGAGAAATTTATGTTGGGCGGTCATGCCTTTCGGCTTGAAGAACGCAGGTTCAACCTATCAAAGGATGGTAAACTCGGTCTTACATAGCTAACTGTGGAGAAATGCTTAAGCATATATAGATTATGTGCTAGTGAAGAGTCGGGAAGCGAAAATGCACTTGGAGGACCTTCGGGAATCGTTCGAAAATATGAAGAAACAC